ATATCAAAAATATCAAAAATATCAAAAATATCAAAAATATCAAAAATATCAAAAATATCAAAAATATCAAAAATATCAAAAATATCAAAAATATCAAAAATATCAAAAATGTCAAAAATATAAAAATATGAAAAATATTTTTCTAATTTTGTCAATTCAAAAAAATTGTTACAAATTTTACCTCGTCAGAAAGGGGAAAAATTAAGTGTTCTGAGCAACTGAAAATATACAGTATGTGTCCTAAAGTGCTTCCCACTTGTTGAATAATGTAGAAATATTTTACGAATTCAAATAATAATGTTTCAAATTTCATACCAATTGAACAAGAAAACTTTTTATGTAAATTCTGTGATGGAAAATAAATTGGAAAAAGTCTACGAGGAGTATACGATAGTTAAAAATTGACGGTTTGTCTATTTTCTTAGACTTTTTAAAAAAAATTGTATTAAACAATTTTTTATTAAAATTTTCAAAGTTTACTGATGAAAAGTCTTAAACTTCCCTTTAGAAAGAACTTTAGGATTCTGATTTATTTTAACTTACCTATAAAACATCCTGTATATTATTTCTGACTACAAATAGTAAAATATTCCTGCGTTTGGCAATAAATTAAAATGCTGAAAATGGTAAGGAGACACCTTTTTGCAATAAACACGTCTTTCATATGTCAAACCTTTTCACATTAATATTGAATGTCCCATGTGTAGCAAGCACATTTTAAAAAAAATAATTTTATGTGGAATTCATTACGTTTCGATTTTAGCGCCCTATACGTATTGTAAAGTGTAGCACTTTATTTAAAAGCGAATTTTATTAGTACTTTAAAGCGTAAATAAATAGGATGCCCATCTGGTATATATTCCCCGTTTTTCCCCAGATTTGGGGAAACATGGTGAATATATGTAGATATGGCAACGGCACTTTACACAAGAAGCACCGACGTTACGTTAATAAAGGTTGTAAATGGGGTAAAAATACCTTTGTGAGAAAGGACAGGCGTGTATATCAAATTTAAAAATTGTTATATTTGAATAATTACAATATAAATATCTGATACTTGGCAACCAAGGTAAGGTTGCCAACGAGATGAACTTAATATTTTATCTTTAGGACTTCCTCGTAATGGAATGTTGCAAAAGGGTGTTTGACGCATGTTAAGTATGGAGAAGATATGTAGTGCGTGCAAGTCACTTGTATTTACCGATGTTTCTTATGCAAGGCCACGTTGCTATATCTTCATATTTTTTTCCCCAGATCTGGTTAATAAATGAGGAATATGTATCTACTTCTGCAATATAAAACATAATTGAAAGGAAAATTAATTTAAATAATTGAAAAACCGTAACATCAAAGTTAAGATTAAATCAATTTAGCTTTATTCGTAATCAACCAAAATTTCAAATTTATGCTACGCAATAAATTAGTTTACACTTTACAATACGTAGAGGGCGTTAAAATCAAAAGAAACGCAATGGATAGTCATATTGCCCAATTCCCAATGAAATTAAATTTTTAGTGATGTTCATACATGGTACATTCCCTGTTTAAAATTAAGGGGTTGGGGAAATGGAAAGAAGGGATTGATACATGAAAGAATTCTCTATCGTTAATATCGCAGTGGACTGTTTTTAGTGGCCCACTCTGTATATATGAACAATCCAAACACAAAATTTTGTCAAATCTTCCCAATCTTTAAATCTGCACTGATAACTTTTTTACCAGTGTAAGTATAGAACGAAACATTCCACTTACATCTATTTTCAACGATTTTCCAAACGTTTTCCAACATTTTTGCTGACATATTTAATTTTTAGCACCTCTACAAAAATTATTGCAAATCAGAGAAGCCATAGCCGCCTTTCCCATAAAAATCGAACTCACAGAACAAAACAACGAGCAAATGCCTTCCCTATATTTTTCCGAGATCAACAAACCAAAAAAGAAAACCAACAGGATCCGTGGAAATTTTCGATGTCCTCAGTGCGACAGAAATTACATAAGGAAAGATTCGCTACAGCGCCATCTGACGTATGAATGCGGCAAAGAGCCCATGTTCCAATGTCCTTTTTGTCCCCAAAAGTGCAAGAGAAGGGGTCACCAGTTGAGGCACGTGAGGAGGCAGCATAAAGACAAAATTGGTCTGATAGAGGAAAATAATCCTGAGCTGTTCATAAAAAAAGAGGAGGCGACTTAATTAAATAGTTTTTTATAATCAAGTAAGAGCAAAAGGTGTAAAATGAATGGTGAAGTAAAATCTGCAGAATATACAAAAAATAACTGAATTTTCTTATAAACACTACTTAATTTTAAATAATTGACGATTAGAATTATTGTGATTTTCAGCTATTTTATACTTACTAGTTTCATAATAATTAAGATAAATCATTTTCAAATTTGGAGAATGTCCAAAAAATATTTTTATAAATGTCTTTTTTGTTAACAAATCTTTGAAATTTACGTCGATACAAAATTAGAATTTGGATTTTCAACAGTTTTACATAGCCACCCTTTATTAACTCACTATTTTCAAAATAATTTGTCAATAATTTACAAAAAATAATTGCTTTCATTGTTTTAAAAGTTGAAAATATGTACAAAAAATTAATTATTGCTATATTTATCTCTGTTAAAAAACATGCCCTTACTTATTTACGATTCACCCTGTGGAGACATAATTTTTGCATTCTTGTGTATATTCGTGGAGTGTCAAAGGATGTTACAATAATATTAGACACACAAAATTGTAATTGATTAGCTTTTTCCTTTAGCCGCTGGTAATAAAAAGGGTCATTTTTTAACCAATCAAAGAAACAAGCTATAATTTTGGAAAATATCTTCTATAGGATGGATGATACCCCAATAAAAAATATGTATATTTTTACAGGACTAATCAAAAAGTATAGGGTGCTTAAAAAAATTGTTTTTTTGACACATTCGATAAATTAACTATCAAAATATTTATTAAATCAATGAATTGGATAATTATAAATATGGTAAATACACAAAGTCCCGTAAAAATACTGCGTTTCACATTAATACTTATAAAAAAATATATTGGCCTATGTCGATATTACGAATCACCCTATATAAATAGCACCCAATATCTTTTATAATAACATTAGACATGCTAAATATAACTATAATTTATTTTTTAGTAAATATTTTCACCTTCTAGAACAATAAAAGTAATTATCAAGAACATGTCCTTACTTATTTGTGGCTCACCCTGTAAAATAAAATAATTTTTGATCCTTTTTTATATGCCAAAAAATGTTACAATAGCATTTGGCACAGAAAATTATAATCTATTAGCTTTTTCCTGAAATAACGGTCACTGAATTTACACCAATATCGGATTAAGAAATAAATGAAAGATTTGACTGGTCAGTTGTATTTTAAACATTTACTCATGGGTGACGTTTTTTTGTATATTGCAAGGGGTTCCTATAGAAACAAAATAAATTTAAAATTTAGGTATTTAATTTTGTCTCAGAAAGCTTAAAAGAGATAGTTACATGATTTTGTTGTTTAATAATAGTTTATTCAGAACAAAAATTTTAATTTACATGCACAGCTTTACCCTGCGATTAAAAATGATGAATAAAAATAACATAACTTTTAAAATTCTATATTAAATAATTGTTTTTTGACATACCTATAAATCCTCAGCATCACTCTCAAAATTTGTGTCACTAGCGTCGCTGTCATCATTAAGGGATATAATTATAGGGTTAATTTCGTTTATCCTGTTTTCACGTGTACACCAGTCGTCAATTAATTTGTCACATTTTTGAACACTTTTTTGCCAAATTTCTGGGGTTGATGAATCCAGTGCTTGTTTCCATATTTCCCTTACTGCTTACTGTAAAGTTACTCTTTTCATAATAAATCATTCATTGTCAAATTTGCAAAATATCCAAAAATTATTTTTAAAGCTTTATTGATAACAAAACTTTATAATTTGGATTAATTTTTTTTTAATTGACGACGGAACAAAATTAGAATTTGGATTTTCAGCACGTTTATATTTTTGTGGTTAGTAATTTTAAAATTTTCAGAATTTACAAAAAAAAACTTTTAAAAATGTTTTTGTGAAAATACAACTTAAATTTAAATTAATGATGATTAGAATTATTGTGATTAGCAGTAATTTTACTTAGTCGCCTTTATCAACTTCTATTTTTAAAATAATTGGTCAGTAATTTTCAAATTTTCAGAATTCACAAAACAATACCTAAAAAAGTTTTTTAAACACAGAATATTATAATTTGGACTAATTTTAAATTGACGGACAAAATTGAAATAAGGATATTCAACAATTTTACATTGCTATTTTTATCAATTTACTGTTTTTTTGATGACAGAACTTTTATTTTTAATTTTTATAAATTATATATTATGTTCATCTTTACTAAAGACTTAAAACGATAATTTGCCTTTTTCATTATCTTCTTAATAATTACTCAATCAAGACGATTCATAATGAAAATTTGGTTGATCTTTATACAACAAAAATTGACAAAACTTTTACTTCACCATTTACTGACTGAATACGGTATATTTTTGCCGCACCTCTTCTAGTATCCAAACGGCTTCATTTTATTTTAGCTTTTTGGAGTACTTTATTACTTATTTTTTCCGTAATACTCATTTTTGCACTGTAGTTTTTTGTGCTAATTATATTTTGAAGACAGTTTTTAATTTTTACTCTTTTTTAAAACGCTTTCGATGTATATTTATTTTACGACTGTATCACCATTTTTTTTTTATTATTATTATTATATTAGTATACGTTTATATGATTTTTTTTGTATATTTATTTTGCATGCTTTCCTCACAAATCCTCCTTAGTACACATTCTTCGCTTGTATATATTCTAGAATCCTCATCTTCCTTTTTGTCCCATTACTATAGTTAGTTATTTTTTAGCTGAAGACCTTACTGTTAAAAAATCCACTTGGGACCATTGGCCGTCCCATTTGGTTCTACCCATGATGCTTATGCGCGAAAATATGAAACAATCCATGCTACAGTCGATCAATAGGGGCACTCTGGATCTTTCCATTAGTCCAAAACCTAGAAACAGACTCACTCAAGAGTCTCCTGGTGGAGGTTTTGTTTGCGGAGATTGCGGTAGAACGTATAAGCTGAAGAGTTCCCTCAGGAACCACCAAAAGTGGGAATGTGGTAAAGAACCGCAATTTAAATGCCCCTATTGCGTCTACAAGGCCAAGCAGAAGATGCACATGGCTAGACACATGGAACGGATGCATAGAGAGATAGATTACACGTCTGTCAAAACCGAAATTAAAGATGAAGAGAATATAGAAAATAAACAAATTGAAAGTAACAATGACAATAATAGCGTTAGTAACTCTAGTAATTAAAATCTTGATTCCTAAAACAAGTTTGAACATGCTCAAATTTGTAGCGATATTTGTTTAAGTTAGAAAAAAAAATGGATTAAGGGGGATAGATATATAATTAAAATACATTCGAATCTTAGATTTACTGAAAAAAAATATGTATAAAATATAGAATTATTTAATTTTGATAATTGAAATTTAAAAACGGTACATCTTAGATTTGAACTGCTAAACAGAACAAAAAAAATCATTCCTTTACTTTAACGCTTTTTTATTTCTAGATTAAAAGACATTCCAATAGAATAACTCGACTTCTTCACTGCCATAAAAACGAACAAACGGAATTTTTATCGTTAAATCCGTTAAGTATTTTCTCAACAACTTTTTTTTTTACTTTTTATCAATGCAATAAGCCACTTTCACTGGAACTAAGAGCGAAAGATATCCTAGCGAGTGGTGTGGACCCAAGCGAATGATATTTAAGAGAATGAAGTTAAATTTTCTAAGCGGGTGACTTCTTAAATTGTTTTAAGAAAATGTTTTTAGCGAATACTGTGACCTAAGCGAATAATAACTGAAGGGAACTAAGAGATTGAACTACTCTTAGCGAATTATATCCTTCTGATAAAATTTAGCGAACCTAGTTTTGTTAGCGAATGATAACAAATGTTCTAGCGAGTCGTGTTGACCCAAGCGAATTATATAATTTAAGAGAATGAAGGAACTTACATTTTCTTAGCGAGTGACATCTTGAATTGGGGAAATATTTCTAGCAAGTACTGTGACCTCAGCGAATGATAACTGAAGGGAACTAAGAGATTTGAAATACTCTCAGAAAATGTTTTCTTTCTGACGAGAGATCAAATTTACAAGCGAAATTGTCCTAACTAATAACAACGATTGTTCTATCTAGCGAGTGGTGTGAACCTAGCGAATGATATAATATATGAAAGGTAGTTAAATATTTTTAGCGTGACATCTTAAATCGTATAGAGGAAGAGCTGTGACTTAAGAGAATGATAACTGAAACGAAATTGTCTTAGCGAATAACAACGAATGTTCTATCTAGCGAGTGGTGTGAACCTAGTGAATGATATAATTTAAGAAAGGCAGTTAAATATTCTTAGCAAGTGAAATCTTAAATCGCATAGAGGAAGAGCTATGACTTAAGAGAATGATAACTGAAGTGATATCTTAGCGATTGTGATCTAGTTACTGTGAAAGTTCGGCAAAACTGCGACAGCCATTTCCATTTAACCTTTAAATACTCATTTTAGATATTTGGATCACTATAATGTCTACCAGTGCGTATACTTCGACATAATTGTGATATTTTTTTTCAAAACTGCAATACTTATTGAAGACAGTGTAGTATTATTATTATGATCACATATCAGTAATGCATTGTTTTTTATATATGGGATATTTTTTATGATTAATAACCAATACTGCCAGTGAATATTTCAGTGGTATTAAGACTGTTGTCTTTCGGTAGATTTTTTTTACAGCAACATATTTGTTTAATTTATTTAGATATTTTTGATATTGAACTGTTTTCAGATATTTTCGGTTTTATTTCCTTTATGATTAGACTATTCTGTAAAACGGTTTTTTTTTTTTTTTTAATCATATATAGATAGATTCATTGTGATTTCATACATCAATAGAATAAACAAAATGTATCCTGGAACCGTTTTGTTCTCAGGATCATCAGCGTTTGTTTAGATATTATACACATTTTTACATTGCACATTTTTTGAAGTATTGTTCCTAATAAAAGAAACTGTTGTTCCTAATGATTAAGGTGTTAAGAACAAGTATTACCACGTTGTTTGAATATTGTGATAGGTTTTGAAAATTGTTGAAGGAAATCATATTGATGTACTACACCGAGAAAACTTACAATGGAATTACAACTTATGGTCTAGGAGTTTAGCAGTCGATATGAGTAACATGTTGAAAATTGTTAGATTTATAATTTAATACCAGTTGAATAAGGAAATTTGATCTGGTGGGGATATCGCAGTGGCAACATCTACTTTTAAATTTTTAAAAATGTAAATATTATTTTGGCGATTTTGTTGGTTAAAAATGCGTACTTTAACGTACTTTTATTTAACGTTATTTTAATAACAATATTTTAATTGCCAGGTGCCCGCTAATGTCCGCCAGGCGACTATTCCATGACTACTCACTTAAGTTGAGTCCATATGGGAAACTTTTTTGTTAACTGTATTTTTGATAAAAAGTTCTGCATGGTCCAAAACTTGAAATGTAACAATCAGATAGGTATTAATTTTTTAAGCCGTATACGAGGTTTGTCAAAAAATATAAATTTTACTCAAGAGTAGAGTACCTTTAGTTTTTGCCATAAAGAAGAATGTTAAAGTTATTTTGAATTAAAATTATTATTCAAATATGCAGTTGCAGTCATTTAGCATTAAAATTCAGGTTCGGTCATTATTTAATTTATAACTACAAATAATTTATAATGTAAAACGTAAATAATCACCTAACATGAATTTTCATGCTAAATGACTGTAATTTCATATTTGAATATAACTTTTAATTCAAAATAACTTTATAACAGTCTTCTGTATTGTAAAAAATAAAGGTACCTACCTTGAATTAAATTTATATTTTTTGACGAACCTCGTATACGGCTTAAAAAAATTGATCTCTGATGGTTGCATTCAAAGTTTTGAACCATGCACAACTTTTTATCAAGAATATATTTTTTACAAAACCAATAATTAAAAAGTTTTCCATATGGTTCCAACTTAAGTAGACACACTGTATACGGAACACTCTGCATATTGTTAAATTGTGCTTAAAATGGAAATTTCGAAAATATATTCTATTAGGAGTACCTGATTCCTTGTTTCTGACTTATTGAAGATCATTATTAAAAATGCTACAATATAGATGATTCTCCATATCAATACCCTGTATATAAAAAAGAAAGTAGAATGTATTAATACAATTTCTAGTCCACACTTGAAAATTTAAATACAATCTCTTATTTTCTCCTATTAATATTTCTCTCTATTCAATAGCATTGTGTTTCTATACCGTTTTTCTGAGGCATGATTGAAAAGTTAACATATTTTATAAGGGGATAGACACCCTGTGCAGTGTCCGCTTGTGCGCGAGTAACAAGCTACTACGGATGACAAAATAACTTTCTTCTGTATTGTAAAAAATAACAAAAATTGAAAATAAAAAAGTTTTTCTCTTTTTAAGTCCATCCGGGGAACACCTTGTGTAACAAAGAGTAAGAACTATTTAGCAGGACTAACTTTTACTTTAAACTTTTTTATAGAACTTCTCATATAAGGGATAAGATAAAACGAAGTGGACACTCTGTATACTCGCCTGGCGGGCACTAGTAACCGCTAGAATTGTCTGGAAGTTGAAAAATTGTTCAGAGAATATTTTTGAAAGGTTTTATCCTTGTAGAAATACGTTAAGAAAGATCTCATCTAGTTCGTACTGGCAACAAACAAAATTATCTGACAATTTTTTTATTTGCACTTGTAAATTGAAACATATTAAGATAAAATTAATATTTTAATAATTTTTTTGACACTTTTAAAAATGTAAAAGTAGTTGGTATAAAATTATTTAGATTGACTGCTGACCCATACACTTTTATGATATTATGCTTTAGAGATTTCATACAGTCAAATATTGGACAACGTTGTAAATTTTCGAAGTGTATACTAATTTTGTAACATTAAGCAGTGGCGACTCGTAATCAATCAAAATATTTGGGATTCACAACTTTCAGAATATCTATCTCAGTACAGATGTAGGTAAAACACTTTCAGTGTTTTAGAAAATTATAATATACAATTACTTACATCTCTAGTGAGATCTACATTCTCCCAATATTTTGGTCACGAGCCACCGCTGATACCAAGTGCCTCTTCCACACCATAAGTGCAGTAAAATACAATTATTAATATTATTCCGGTTTATATAAAATTTTATTAAAACTTCTATTGTTGGTTAACGCGTAGTGATAATGATACGGGGGCGGTTCTAATTTAAGAAAACAGATTTTTTGATTTTTATCTTATTCATTTTTATGGTTTACCAATCGCCCCTGATCATGCTTCAATTGAATAAGATTTAAGGGATAGTTATTAGGTGTTATTTGATATTAATTGAATTTTTTCTGCTTCTTATTTCTAAGAAAAGTAACCGGTAAATTGGTAAATATATGTACTATATACATTCACAGGGTGTATCGTATTTAAATAGACAGCTTAGGAGGAAGTAGGGCATATTTAACCGTTATTTAATATAGGGGTCAAGTCAGGAGATTTCGGCGGCCTGTTTACTGTTTCTTTCCTTTGCTACGGATTTTTTTGATTTTGGTAGTCTCTGGCAGGTACAGAAAAATATTTAACAAAAAAAAAGTCAGTGGTATAAGGAAATAATTGGAATTTCGTTAGTAAATAAATAAGTTTTTCCGTAGATTCCAACAGATCTTCAAAATTCGTTACACAGGATCCACTTTTTACAAGTTAAAATATACCCTATTTTCTGTTAATCTATGCCTGTTTAAATATGGAACATCCTGTATAGAAATTCACTTGTGAATACTTAAAAAGTTAGTAATAAAAGATTTAGTTTATAATTTTTGATTTGGTTTAAGTAACGCTTTTGCAACCTTACGTTAAATATTGAAACTTATATTATGCTTGAAAATTTTTATGCTTTTTTTGATATGGCAGCTTACGAAAATTGGTTTAGGTGTATAATGAAAAAAATTATTTAATTTCTAAGGAATATTTAACGCAATACACATTTTGTTATAGTATGGTGGTACAGTTACAATTTTAAAATTCGAAAAAAAAAATATAATTATTTTTACCAGGTGTAGGGCCGTTATTGAACAAACCATAGGAGTTAACCATATGAAATTTTCGAAATTTTTTTTGTAAAAAAATGTCATTTTGTATAATTTTTTTAATAAAAATTTCGAAATTATTTCAA